GAGTGGTTTATTATTCAGGATGTTTTATTAATTGCTGTTAGAGCTGCTGTTGCTGTTCATTTGCTGGCAGGTCATCCAGAAGGAACAGCTGATGAGACAACTCTAAGTGTGTCACTTTGAACAGTATGTCTACAAAATTTATCCAAATCCAGTCTTTTCAGAAAGTTTCTACATTATGGGCTACTAATGATCTTACATTAGATTTCAAATTCATACCTTGGCATTGTTGCAATTGTTTTGAATCTCTCCATTACCTTAAATCAACATGTTTTTAGGACTTTCTGTTCCAAAAGAAAATGTAAAGAAATTAAATCAGCAGCTGAGCAGTTTGAATGCTGAAAGAACATTCTGCTCTCAGAGAACGACTTTCATCATAAAAGGCTGAATAGTTTGCTGTTACAGTCACAGTAATTTCTGTTTTCAGTTAATGATTGTTCAGTCAGTTCATCTCTCTGAAATAACTCTCCCTATTTTTTTAGGGAAGTGACACAAAGAAAGGTCAGAAAGTGGGTTTGCAGTAGCCTGTAGGTCACTGCTCATGAATTGCAGGATATTCTTTGACCTTTGTGTTGTGCATGGAGTTTTTTATAGCTTCAAAAATAACAATTCCTTAGAATTTCTCTATTCTATTTTGCTATTGTTTCATACTTATTTTCAAAAATAACACTGATTTTTAATTTGTCTGGTTGATACAGTCAGTTTGGCCTCTGAGAATTGCAAAGTTTTCATGTAGAATTGTTCATTACCAAATTTCTGATATGTACATACTGGAAGATACAGTGAAAAGTTGTAAAATTACTCCATTTTCCCATGCTGAAGGGAATTCTGCAACCTGAGAGCCTTCAACTCAAAGACCAAGAGGTTCTTGTGTTAACCACAGTCAGATGCTATGACTGAAATACACTCAGAACAGAATTAGTCTCATCTGCATGGCACAGTGTTTTCATTAGCGTGTTTTAAACCGTCCTTTGTCTCATTATTATAGATAAGGTAGAAAAGGAATGTGGATTTTTTAATCAGATGCTAATGTGAGAGTCTTGAAGTATTTTAAATAGGTATGGTAGATGACTAATACTCCCTTCTAGCCTACCTCACATTCTTTTATAGTAGGAACTCCAAAGCATTTTTGCATAGGTGAGTATGAATTTCCATTAGTAAAGCAGAGAATAAGGTCTTTCTGATACAAAGAGATTATTTTCTCAAAGCTTCTTGGAGGGTTATTAATTCTGTTTTTCAAGAATTTTCACACTCCCAGAAGTTGTGAACCTGCTTTGACCCCTCAGAATATTCTGAATTAAATGTTCATATCCATCCATTTCAATGAAACTTTTTTGATTTTAAATAGACAGAGATCAATTTAAGATGATCCTGAATGTATAATACTTCTGCAGCTTCCTTGTCTGTAGTGTAATTTATAGGAGTTAGGGAGTTCCAGATATATATACTATTATGTTGAGTCACTGCATGTTCTGCAGGCAGTTTAAGGTGGGGTCAAAATGTATTCCCAAGACAGTTAAGTAAGTGTTATTTTCCTCTGCACTGCCTGTTCTAAATCATGTTAAATTTTTTTAATGTTCCCACAATAAACCGTGTAAGGTATTTTCATACATCTGAGAGCAAGCAGACTCTCTAATTTGCTTTACTCTGGGAATAATTTAAAGAAAGATTTCTTTATCCTATTCAGGAAAAAAGCAGAAAGTTAAACAAGAGAAGTTCTGTGGTTTTCTTCTCAGGGACAAAACTTAATTTTAGGCTAGGAATGCTGATAAGCAAAAACATCAGCCTTTGAAAGAAGCCTCTTTCTCTCATAGTTTGAAAATGTAGAGTTTTTCATGGAAAAATTTGAAAAGAGAGAAAAAGAACTTTTTGTGTTTCTTCAGCATTTCACACACTATTACTTTCAATCAGAGTTTAACCTCTCTCTTTTTCTTGTCCATCAGCAAAACAGAAGCCTAGTCTATGTTGTGAGATTGTTTGTGTTTCTAATACTGAAGTAATCCAAGTTCAACTTCTCATTTGCACCCAAGCTACATACAATTAATGGAATTCCCCTTTGCCTAGTTTTAATTCCTGAATGAAGAAGTAGCTGTTCTCTTCTACACAAGCTCCCCTCTCTTGTCTTGAAAGAAGGGACCCTTAAGTATCCTTTACATAAAATGCTAGTTCTAGTCTCTACATTCATGTAAATTCCATATTGAAGTTCCTGCTAACTGCTGAATTTGGGTCACATAGTCTTCTCCAAAAAAAATAAATTGCAAAGTAAGAGGGATTTAAAATTAACCTCTGTGTGTCTTGATGGAGCTTAAGGATTAGAACTAGAATGGACAAATAAATATTGGAGGGATTAGCTGTTTCTTTGCTTAGGCTGATTTCCTATGCCTCATCCTCTGAGCCCACTGCCCATTTATTAGAAATGGTGCTAGTTTTGCTTTCATTTAAGGCAATGGAGGAGATAAGATTGACTTGTACACTGAGCCTTTAACTAGCAAAGTGTTTTTCAGAGCTTCTAATAATTTGCTTTGCATCTATCACAAGCAGCAGGTTTTATTGGGATTTATCATCTTCTGTCTCAGAGGCTGAGGGCTGGGTAGGGTTTAGAAGCAAAACTGTATTCTCTCTTTTCCATGTCCATAAATCCTAAGGAGTGTCAATGGCTGGTCAGTATGGTAAAGAGCAACCAGCAGGCTCCACGAATCCACATGTGCACAGGTGTTTCTCTTATTTAAGATTTTGAGTAGTAATGCTGCAAAGCAACAACCTTGCTTGATCACATGTGAGTCCTGTATAGGCACCCTGCCTATTAATGTATATATTTCAGGGACCTGTCCCAGATTTTGTACCAACCCTCAGTTTTGCTCTGCTTTTTTTGCAGAACTCCTCTTCAGTTTCCTGGTTCACATTTTGTTAGTGTTTAAGACCAGCTGTGTCTCAGTGAGCACAGTAGCCAAGAGCAATTCACTAATTGCAGAATAGTGATTGTCTCTTTCATGCAGATCTGCTTGTTTTATGCATTGTTATTAATCTTAACAGTCTTCAGGAACTTAGCTGTGAGTTGTTATTAGATGAATGCAGAATGAGAGACTTAAACACCTCTTGGGTCACAGAGCTGTGTCTGTTGTATATAGCACCAAAATGTAATCCTATTTGTACTGTGGATTTGGGTCTTTAATCCAAACACCTATTACATAAAAGATGGATAACTGAATCTTCAGACTTTACATTTTAAATGGAAAATAACTCTGTTGGTTGTAAGAATAGGTGTAGGCAATTATGCTGGTGACTTGGATCCTGAGTGGGTGGAGGCAGCTAAAATCCTGAAGAGGTGTGGCTCAGGTTTATCTCTCTGCTTTGGGTTTCTTTGAACATAGACTGTCGAGGCTTTGGGCAGATTTTGAGACACCTGACTCAATGCAAGATGCGTGATATTAAATTCTGGCTTCACTCCTCAGACCTATCTAGGTAGCTCCGTAGTTCCTGGCAATTTTTGTGAGGTGAAAAAGTGCAAGTTGGTTAATCGCTATATCAATACTAAAAATATGAAAATACTTTGTGAAATACGCAGTGAAACAGCTATAATTTGCATAGCCTTATTTTTGTTTCTCTAATCTCTGTAGATCTCTCTGAAATTATTTTTCCAAACGCTGGCATTCCTTCGTATGGGAGGAGACAGCACTTCAGCTAAAATGGAAAAATACTGCTGTCAAGTTGGCTGTTTAGCTATTCAATGACTATAATCTTAAGCACTCAATGACATATCAGAAGTTTCATTGTCAAGATACCCTCTGAAAATTCCAGTGATTTCAAATGTTATCTAAATGGCAGGTATAATCTCTTATTTTATTCTCATGTGAATATAGAGTTTCAATAGCTGTGGTCTGAAAGTTATGTAGAAAATAATTCCTACTTATTAGTGGAAAATCAGAAAAAATGCAAGTATTTGCATTTTTGCAAAGTATTTGCATTTGGAAAATCGTGGGGGGGAAGCCTATTTCTAATAGTATTTTTTCGGAGTATCATTCTTTATAAATATATATATATATAATGCACTAAATTATTGTCTAATATTAATTATTTCACATAATGCAATGCCCTGCTGACTGTATTTTTGCAGGAGTTACATGAAGTGCTGCTGCTTGAACTGGTATGTATATACATACATATATACACATATATCAATTCATTTATATGCTTGTGTTTTCACCTGACAAAAGCTATAGATGAAGGATTTTGCCTTCTGAAAAATTGCTGAATTTCTTTGGGGAATTATACATGAAATGTTTCAGATCTTTAATATCAGCATATAAAGAGGATGTGGACCTACCTAGGTGAGCCAAACCTCCCTTCCTCGCGTGTTTTGTTTGAATGTGTCGCTGGAGAACTTTGTCATAGTTGCTGACTGTGGTATATAGTGGGCAGTTAAGCCATAAGTAAACATTACAGCTTTACCAAAAGGATAGGCATGAATAGCCATTAGTTTCACAGGAAGGGAGGAAATGACCGTTTTCCTGATTGTCAGGTAGTTAAACTCGGTCTTTCCAGAGAGGATTTTAATCGATGAGGTATTCAAACAGTGAGGACAAAGGAACAGTGAAGAACTGCTTTTCTAAAAAAAGGACCGAATTGTAAACAGCAGTAAGTAGTTGCTTTCTTGTGTTGTCCAGCTAAAATTAACCTTAAGAAAACAAAATATGTTTGACCTAATTTGCAATTTATGGTTGGTACGACTTAATTGAATTAGTGAACACTGAATTTAGTTTGGGGTGTTCCTTAGTGCTGAGATTATCTGCACGTGCAGATAGGCAACTTGATAAGGTCCCAGCAGTGGGAATAATTATCAGAATTATCAGGCAATTGTTGGCAATTCAGATAAATTACAGCTACTTTTGGGTTTTTTATTGCTTTTTACTTTGTGTTTTGGTTAATACTGGTAAAGTGTTCTGAAGGTTTTTCCCCTGTATATTTTTTTTCCATACATCCTCTGCCTTTGTTTTGTTTTATAGGGTTAAAAAGCCCCCAAAGAATCAGAAGTGCTTTTAAAACTAGACTCAGGTTATTCACTGCTGGACTACCCGATATCTACTATGTGTATGTAAATGCTCTCCTTTGTTCTTTTTCCATCAGGTATAAAGTAGTATTTCTCTGCTTTGCAAGTTCCATGTGCAGTGTGTGTTCATGAATGCATGTCCTTCTTCAGTGCTGCTCTGGCATGTTGCCATACTTAATGTAGACTCAAAATTCCAAGACTCTGATAACTTGCCCTGTTGAAAAAGCACAAATGACATGGCAGAATAAAATACAACTTCCAAACAGAAAAAGAAGATGTGAAAGCAAACAATGTACATTTTTTTTCACTTATTTTCTTCCAAACATCTAACTTTCACAAAAATATCTGAAAAAATAGCACTAAAAAATAAGTTATGTCAATGGTTAATGGGTTGCATTAAAGTTTGTATTAAAAAGCCATGTCATTTGTGCCTCACATTTTCACTTTTTCTGAGCATAGAAGGAACTAAAACAAGGAAAGATTTGGGGTCTAATCTCACATTCTTCAGGGACTTAAGATTCCCACTGTGGTTAATCAAAACTGTAGGTGACTAAAATGGTGTATTTAACTCTAAACAGAAAACAAGCAGAATAAAGTCCTTTCAGATTAAATACAGTTTTGTCTGTAAAAGTCTGTTCTCTTTTCCTTTTTTCCTCCCAGGTGTGTTACACATGCTGGTTATACTGTGCAAATGGGGCAATTGCTCATCAGAGCAAAAGTCCCTTTCAATGGAAAAGGAGCAAATGTAGGTAGGACAGATAGGTAGAAAAATTATTTTAAATGCAGTAATCTGCTGTTCTTGAAAAAAAAAATTCTCATTTCCTATGAAAACTTTCCTCTGTAAAATGTCTTCTGGGCCCTTGGCATTTGGGATTTCATATTTGGTATAGTGGTAAGGAAAGGTGAGGAAAATCGCCGTGAGAGGTTTAATCCTCCCTAATGAGGATAAGCTATCATCACCAGTATATGTTAGTCACAAACCTGTTTTAGTTTATGGTGAAGTAAACAGCACCTTAAGGACAGTTCCTCACTACCCCAAACTGCTAGAATCTATTGCATTCTCCAGAAGAAGAGAAGAAGAACATTTGGCATATGTGTGACTACTTTTCTTGCTGTTTTTTTTTTTTTTTTCTTTTGTGTATCATGTGAGGGTTATCTACCCGGTAATTTCCTCTTTTGTCCTACTAAAATAGTACTGAGCAAACCCTTGAATTAACTGCCTTACAATAACTGGATTTGGCAAAGTACCTAGAGACACACAGACTCATGTGCCATTACAAGGAAAAAAACGTCAGCAGATCTGCTGTTAAGTGGTGCCTATAGTTACCCTATCCCAATATTTACAAAAGAAGAGAACTACTGTTAAAAGAGATTTTTGTCAGTGAAGGTTAACCAATCAGATACCTAGAGAAAATGGGAAATCTTTAAAATGCAAGAAATAAACAAGTGAGGTCCTTGACTCTTTCCATGTGCTTTCCTCAGTCAACCCCCTCTGTTCATCTCCTGTCTTATATATTCACAGGAATCATGTCCCCCTGTCCTTTTCTCATAGTCCAGGGCCTCTGTGCCTCACCATAACATAATCTCCATCCTCCTTTCATAGAATTAGAGGTTTTCACACTCATGTTCAAGCTATCAGTGTTTAAAGTTATACTGGCAGAACAGGAAGAGTTGCCATGAAGGAAAAACAAAACAGGTTGGTTTTGCTAAAGAGAGGTTTTGGTTAGTGTTAAGAGAATCTGTGATCTCTGAAATCTGGAAAATTTGGCATTGACTAGATTCAATCAGTGTTGAACATGTTACATGTTTTGCATTAGTGATAGAGGAGTAACACTGTTGGATTATTGCTCCCACTGGGAGATTTGATTTTGGTCAGGGTAGACTGACATGCTCAGCTGATTTAAAATGGTATGATGAGTGTGATACCATCAGAGTCAAGTGAATCTATGGTAGGTTGAATCCAGTGGAATAATATTCCCATTTTACTGACTGAGAAACTGAACTACATGGAGATCATGAGGCTGGGCCACAAAAATTCGGCAGGCTCTTTACAGAGTTAGGAACCAACCCAGTCTCCTAAAATCCAGTTCAAATTTTTGACCAGTGTTACACTGTCTGACAAAGAGTCACTAATCAGTGTTTTGAGGAGCTCACTTCTGTCTTACACACAGAAGGAGATTAATCTACTAATCCTAAATACAAAAGGAATGTATCATGCCATACAGTTACAAAATGATGCTTTCAGTGTGACTTTTTAGGCATCTTTCAGCTCATTCAACATTATTTTCTATAAACCGGAGTGCTTACAAAGAAATACTGTTCAGCCTCTTCTCTGCATAACAAAAAGCAGCCCACAACTGTAAGGTCTCTTTCCATTCATCAGTCACCACATCTGTTGCTTGCTTGGACACTGACCAAAATGATTCATTCACATGTCTAACATTTATTTTTGGTGAAATACTGGGATTATACAGAATGGCAGTATTTCAAAAATTGGTCTAGAAAACCAAGGGAAGTTGGAAACAACTTCCTCAGCTGAAAACAAACACGACGTTATATCATTCTGCAGCTTTATTAGAGGGAAGGCAGTAGCCAAGTGAAGCAGCTGGAATCACACTGAAGTCACTCTGAACTCTGCAGATCATTTCATTCTTCCTTCTGCTACAGAGCTCACGTCCCTGATTTACGGTGCCTTTTGTTTCAAAGAACTAAGAAAGGTGGGTCAATCTCTCATATTTAAAATCTTTTCTCCCTTCCTTCTAAATAATGTGTCTCTACAGCTACAACAAGACTTGCAGGCAAACTCTGTAAGATGATATAGCACATACTGGCCAAAACAGCTTCTTGGAAGAAAGACTGTGATACTCATGTATTTCAAAGATTGTTTTGAATCAAGAAAAGATATGAAAGTATGCGTGAATTTAATTTTTAATGACTTCTGAATATGTTTATACACACTTCAAGGAGTTTTATCCTGTCAGAGAATGGTAAGTGACCTTGCTTCAAATCTCTCTCTCCCCCCCATCTCCCATAGTATGCAGGTTTTTAGGTTTTTTATTTGAGTAGGGATAGTGTGTCTCCCACAGCTATAGAGATTCCCAGTATTATTAGAAAAAAGTACACCAGTTCTGCTCTGAACTGATTCTAGAAACTGGAAATCATTTCAACTTAACAAAATAATTCTGAAGAATTACAGTCATGCAGAATTAAATAAGGTTTCTATGATCTCAGCTGGAAAGTGTGTATGTTTTCCTTAATCATTGTGGAATAAGGTAGGACGTGGATCTAGTTCATTAAGTGTATTAGCTTGTTTCCTAGAAGTGACAAGATCTGAAGCTTTGTATACTACTACACAATGAGACAGGGCTCTATTCCACCTCTTATTCAGACTTAGTGATAACAGTGTCATTGTCACCTGTCGCCTTTCTAAATGTGATCTTGCAAAGCCAAACAATATCACAGACCTGTTTTTGTAGACTTACACAACGTGTATACATTGAATTATGCCTATGTTCATATGTCTATGAATTAAAACACATCAAAACACATTTTTTTTTCTAGCTGAATGAAATGGTATTTCTGAATAGTTTTAAATGTGCATTAACTCATAGCTAAGGAGAAGAAAGTAAGGGTATATCACAGTACAGGAATTTGTCAGAGCAGCTTTGTAGAAACTGCTTTCAGGATTAACTTGCTTATGATACCTTACTTTCACTAGCATCATATTATCGTCCTGCTTCAGCTGAATTAGGAAATGCAAATATTTTGATAACCCAATTTACTTTTGTTTAATGTCATTGCAGCTTCTGCCCAAATTTAAAATATTATCAATCACTTATGCCAGGCAGACAGGATAGAGGTCCTACCAAGTTTACTTCAATCCTAGGAGTCCCTGTATGTGCCATGAGTGACACTACAGTCCACTTCTACTGCACTTAAAATCTCTAAATGTGGTGCAGTGGAAGTTATTTAAGCCTGGAGAATGAATTTATGGTTTGGATTCTCGAATTGCCTTTGTGGAAAGGGATCATATGTCAGGAAAGCTCTGTATAAGGATTCTTAGGCAGAATCTGATCACAGATTTTTACTGCTCTGGTGGGGACAGAAGAAAAGTATTGATCAAAATAATAAATTTCTATGTACTGTACATTATACATTCTTTTAATTTTACGAATTTCTTTCTCTGCTGACAATCTAATGAGCAGCATCTGAAATGCTTAGATTTGTGTTTAGTTCTGATAGATTGATTAAAGAGGAAATTTATATGTTTCCTAATAAAGCCAGTTGCCTTAAAGAATTTTCTTCTCCTTCTGTTTCTTAACAGACACTTGGAGTTTGTGATCTGTTATTAGATGTTAATTTTGTATTAATAACTCTGCTATTCCAAGCACTAAGTGACAGCTAGGTTTGCAGAGGATTGTAATCTATTGAATGGTCTTATTATTTGCTTATTTATTTATTTTGTCTTGTGGAATGTGCCAGCAGTTCAGCTGTCTCTCTTACTGTGGTGGCTGATTGTCTGGCTAATTTGCACTCATTATTTCTGATAATGGTTTGACTTGTGTTCATTCAGTCTAAAGCCAGCAGTTTCACAACACTGCAGGGCTCTGTTGTTGCTGGCTTTGCAAAAGAGAGTTCACTGGAAGGAACAGCTTCTGGTGGCTTGTTACCAGAAGAAAGGGATTGCTGTGGCTGTGGTGGGCAGTGACCAAGACACATTGGTTTTAGAAGGGAAGATGCCATAATGCAGGGATGAACTCTCCCACACTTGCTAGGCTCCTGAGACTAAAAGAAAAGTTTTGTGTCCTCAGAAGAAACATATAGTTCTTCCAGGGGAGCTCAACTAATTCTGTACTCTTTGTGTCTTCATTATGTTCCAGAGCTTGAGAACCGAAGACAGGAGCCAAAAACCCTGTATCAGCCCCTGGCTGCTTTTTTCCAGAGAAAATTGCTGCTGGCTTATTGCAACTCTCTTGTACCTGGCCCACCATTTTACTGCATTACAGTTCTTTGGATAAAACTGAACAGACCTGCTGCAGATACAATAATTTTTTATTACTGGGCTCAAAGGGAAGCTAATAAACCCATTACTACAAGTCAGGTTTGTTTGCAAGAGTTAACTGCAAAAGCCAGCACACTAAGTCTCTACTTCTTGGCAGGGACATTAGCTAGCTACAAGTTTGCAGCATTTTCCTACTTCCTACCCAGGCTCTCTTGTCCCTTTTTGATACTTCTTGAAGAATGTATTTCAAGAATCACAAGGCACAAGTATGAAGAACCAGCATCTTTTCCCTGTGTCCACAATAGATACTTCCCTCTTCACTCTTTCAGCAAGGTCTGAATTCTGCCTCCAGCTCTACCTTTGAATCTACCATTTGGCTTTGGGCAAGATGTTTCTTCTGTTCCTTCTCATGCTCTTCTTTTGTCTGTATATTTTGTTTATTTATAAACAAATCAGGAATTGTCTCTCATTATGTTCTTACAGTGCCTAGATCCAGTGAGGCTTTGATCTCGAAGGCTGAGGCCTTTGGGTACTATCCCGACATAAAAAACATGCTTTTTCAGCAAGTGTGAGCTTGGCATAGAAGTTTTATTCCCTTCTGAAGCCTTTTAGATGATAGAGGGAAAGGAGTGTGTAGTAAGTCCTGTACCATCAATGTAATATCACTTTCTACACTCCCACTCCTTCTTTCTAATGATTCTCTTTAATGAGCTCAGCCCCTCATCATTTTAATGAGATGTTTTGAAAATATGAAGAATCATTGCCCATTTAAGAAGCCTGAATAATGTTAACTGAGGGGTTGTGCTATATCTAGCAGAGTCAAGTGAGAAGTGATTTGCAAAGCTAATATGGGAAGCCTGTAAAACCAGTATTTCCAAGCTCCTAATTTGACACCTTAATCATAGGTGCCATCTATTCCTATCAGTGCTAGGGAGTGTTGCCAGTGTCATATTAGGGAGATGAATAAATATCCAGTCCTCCTGATATTAACATTATGATTTTTTCAGTTTTGCAGCAATACAGGCAGTGCTTATTTTAGACTTGATCTTAAAGTAAATGAAATAGTTAGCTTTGTATGAGTAGGAATATTAGAATAACACTCATACAGAAGTAGACGCCTTTAATCTACTGTACACAGTGATTCTAGTATATTAATGGTGAGGACATAATAAAGTATGTTATCCAAAACATTTCAGTTGATAAGAAATGTACTAGCGATATTTTGGAATTGAATGTTCTGATTTATCCATGCAAGAGTAGTTGTCAACAGTAATATAATCACAGCAATATTGCATTCATGAAAGAAGAAACTGCTGATGTGTATTAACAAGGAGTAGAATAAACCTAGGAGAACAGACCTCAATTTGGAGGACAGTACATAACCAAGCATACTGTTATAAATGACTGGGAAATTTAATATTTCTGGAATAGAATAGGATATAAGAAGGCATATTAGAGGACTGATTTGTGGTGCTAATTTTCTCTGGGGTTAGTTCTAAACTCTTCTTGTTAAAAGGACAGTAAGTGTAGCAAATTGTAAGCTATTTTTTCTCTCTTATTTGATAGATATTTTGTATCTTGCTGGAGAGAGTTATTTTATTTTTTTCTGTAATGACTTGTTGTTACTCTGCAGTACCTTTAGCATGGCTGTTGTCTAACATATGTTTAATTGTCCTTATTCAGTCTGCTGAGACAACAGTTGATAATCTGAAAGAAATATCTGCATACTCTTTATTCTCTACTGTCACTTTGATGCTTTCTGTTAGGAGGGAGTTGTGGTAAAGTGTGTGTTTGCTGAAGGAGTACGGTCATGCAAAAAACATGCTCAGAGCTGCATGATCATGTAATGGCACATAAATGGTAGTCAAAATCATCTTTCATCACAAATATACGAGACAGTTACAAAATAAAATTTCCAAGTAATTTTTGCTTGGAAACCTTTAAAAGCCATAATTAATTAGAAATGCAAACATTTCTAATTAATTAGTCAATCTATTCACTGGGAAGCTGAGGCACTTACAGTTTTTTTAATTGGATATCTCTATTACTCTAGGTATGTAGTTATTATGGTGGCTTATAGCCAAAGAAAATACTGCTGGCATTTGTGGAGGAGTAGAAAACACATGATGTCTGCCTGGAACAACACTTCATTAGTGTGCATATCTTACATGCTGAGGACCCAGCCAGTATGATATGTGGTGTACCTGCTGGGCTTTGAGAGGTGTGCTTAACAGCTCTGAGTTATGTCCTGAGTCTGCAGAGACAGATTAGTGTATGTGACCAGCAAATGGTGGAAATCCAGATTCATTTTCTCTTCAGTGTAGAGGAAAAAGATCAGAACCTGCAAGGGCTGCCCAAGTAAGTGCTGTCTCCCTCCAACACAATGGGCATGACAGCTCGGGGAGAGCCTCCCTTTAGGAAAGGGAAGGTCTCCCAGAGGTGAAGCCGTGGTTTCTTCGTTTCATCATTAGTGAAGGGACAGTGTTAAGTTTAAGAAAGGAGGATAGGACTGTGGTTAAACCACTAGGCAGGGACTCCAGGTTTAGCACTTGGTTTGATCAGAGATTTCCTGTAGGTCACTCTCAGCATTCCTGTCTGTAAACCAGACTGATGATGCTTCTCGCTTGAACCTAGTTTCGGTAAGGGTTATGAATACTGAGGGGTTGAGACTGGTTATGTAAATACTTTGGCAGTGCTGACACATACAATATAAGATGATATTTTAAATCTCAGGCGGCACTGTTTACCTAAATGTCTATTTTTACCTACTTGTAAGAACATGAGAATATTTTTTTCTGCAAAAAAGGGGCTGCTTTAAGTGTTCATAGGTATCACCAGTCATTTTCTTGACTCTAATCTACTATCTTTGAGGTCAAATGATAGACTTGCAGTGGCTACAGCAACTCCTTACATTCAAAAGGAATATTAAAAAAGATATTTTTACTTTTAGCTGTGTTAACAGAAAGGAATAAGCAAGAACAGGCA